CACAGCAACTACCATGAAGCATGGTGGAGACAGTATGATGGTTTGGGGGGGTTCTGTTGAGGTGACAGGAGATATTTACGAAATAGACGGAATAATGGACCAGCGCAAGTACCATCAGATACTGGTCCATCATGGTATACCCATTTGTTTACGTATTATTGGTAAAGGATTCTACTACCAAGAAGATAATGATCCCAAACACTCATCCAACCTATGCAGAAACTACTTAGCTAAAAAAGAAGCTGCTGGAGTCATTCAAATCCTGCAATGGTCCCCACAGAGACCCGATCTTAACCCAATTTAGCAGATCTTGGATTTGATAAATCAAAAACTTGACAAATCAAAAGTTACTTCCAAAGAAACTTTATGGGAGTGTATTAGAGGCATTTGGAGTAAAATTCCAAAGGACACCTTGATTAATTATGTTACAACAACGACTGAAAGGCTGTCTGCAGTTATTAAAGCAAAAGGGGAACACAAAAAATGTTAACTGTTTGCTGAACTCAAGCACTTCCACCGAGTTTCTGTTGTACTAAATATGAAAATTAATATTTTTTGATGTTTCACTTGTGATTTACCTTCCACTGTTCTTTGAAAGTAGCCTGAAATCTAATTTTCAACTTTATCCTAACACTTTTGCACAGTACTGTAAGTTGATAAATGTTTCAAACCTACAATTTAGGAGATAAATTGTGGACAAAGATAACTTCCAGTTGTTAAAGAAAGATTTACACTGGAATCACTAAACAGGTTACACGGAAATCTGACAAAATGCTACATAATATACAAATCTAAAATCCCAATGCTTTGAACCAATTTAATTCATAATTCTAACATGCCTACAAGGGTGTGTTCTTATGGCTGTTCACATAGGATTGGGATAACAATTGATTTAACACAAAAATCTACTAAAACTGAATAATTAAAAGCTTTCCAGAGAAGCTTTAAACTCGTGCTATTATAAACTCTTTATACTTGGAATGTTATAATCCAGGCAAAAGTTCTTGGTTATTTTGTTCCAAAAAAAAAATAAGCAAACCAAACCAATCCTGTTATGAATATTCTACTTTTACTTTCTTCTATACTAAACATTCATCTCAAAAGATAAAATTTTTCACTTCATCATAAAGAACCAACACAAAAGCACCACCTGTGCCTCTCAGGACATTAGAGAATGCACCCTTGAAGAAGGCTGCTCCACCCT